AATGAGACCTGAGGCGATGTCTCTGGGGGCTTTAACATGCGAGTGGTATATTCTGGTCAGACAGTTAGTGTCATCTTTTCCAGGAGTATGGGAAGCCGGTAGGGTCCAAACATAGGTGAACGACTTCCCAGGGGCCACTGAATCATCGGCTTTCTCCACCTTTTCTGATGAGTCGGGATATAGTGCTCCTGGAGAGAAAGCCCATATTCACAGTTTTCATGATGAGCAATTTGTGCACATGAGTTAAAGTAAATGAATTAACATGCTTATTTAACACCACCTTCATTGCTCTTGTTGTAACTGAGGCCATGTGCATGAATGGAGTACTCTCATCTGGCCATGTTCTTCAGGTGCACAATAACTACGTCATCTTCTTCTGCACTAATGAGGGGTCCGAGGTAGACCAGCCACTTGGGTTTTTCTATCTCCTGCCTGTAGGTGGCGTCAGTATATTGCAGGTACACTGCCTTTTTATACAACCGTCCAATCCGCTGCTCTCCCCTCTCCAAAAACACCCGTGCTTCTCTGTCAAACACCAAAACAACATTTTACATGCATTGACTCAGAAAGGTAAATATTGTGTCCCTAAGAAATAAATCTATTATTTAGGGTTGAGGACCCAGAATCTAAAGCTGGATTCACACTGACAACTATCTGCAGAAATAAAGCAACCAGAGCTCATTCATCTTCATTGCTAAAATCAATCATTTTCAATGTACAGCAACATAATCTGTTTTGAAGCGGCAGTTCAGCTTTAAATGAGCAGTGGTGCAGTGACTTCCATTGGGAGTCAACAGTGATTCGTTAATACAGTTGGATACTACAGTTGAGTAGGACTGCCTAAACAATAGGAGCAATATACAAGTGAAATTGTCATTAAAGTTCTAAAGAAGGCTATAAATTGCAACTAGAGTGTATTTAAAATGATTCAGTGTTTAATAAAATGTTATTATAAGCTAATTTCTTGCATACTGAACTCATAACTCAGAGGTGTTTGTACTCACTCATCTTCTTCTATGGTTTTGTTCTGAATCAGATTTTTACCACTAGGAGCATAATCCCACTGAATCTCCTTAATGGCAAAAAAATATTCCCTTGTGATAGAAGACGCGATTCCAGCACAACACAAAACCCCGAGCAGTGTCCACCGCAGCCCCTTCATTTTGGATCACTGGGAGTTGACTATCAAAGTGGAGCAGATGCTTCACCTCTTTAAATGATGAAGGGTGACAGCAGTCAGCCAATCACAACAGACGTGAAGAGGGCAAGTTGACTTTTACACACACACAGCTGGGCGGTCTGGTAAATACACGACCCCATGAATTTACTGGCAGTATGTGACGCCATGAACTCTAGGAAACTCCTGTCTGTCAGAAAACCCTGTGTCAGTTTTCTTTGCAGTTCACGAGTTCACACTTACTTATAATGAACCGAGTAAAGTTTATGCGTATTTGGCGTGCTGTCCGGGAAGAGGGCTCCGAGCTCACTCATCAACCATCTGTCTGACAAAGCTTGCACCTGAATCAGTGTTAATATCGCCCCATTGTTTGAGTGTGTTTGTGCGTGGTAGATGTGGAAAACATTGCTGACCAAAAAACCCCAACTTGTTTGCATTACGTAAAAATCAATAGGGTATTGGGCATTTGTCTCATGTTGAGTTGAGAAATGTTTGTCTGTTGGGACTTGACAACTCAGCAGTTGAAATGCTTTGAATCCCAATTGCAACGCACTGGGACAAATCATTTTAAAATAATGAAGCAAGCTGCATATGCTATGGTAATATTTGTTGACAAATCATACCTCATGAAGTAGCCAAGGAGAGAAAGGGCAAAAGTCAAGAATTTTGTTGAATAAAGATTGGCCCAGTGCTATTACATTTTCATTATATTCGATTATGAAGCCATTATATTTCTCAAAATTTCACCTTTTGTGTTCCACAGAAGACAGTCAACAGGTTTGGAAAAGGCTTGGAAAGGCATTAGGGTGAATGACAGAAATAAATAGTGAAATAAAACAATTTGTTGACTTTGCAACTTAAAGTCAACATATAAGCCAAACATTTTCAGCAACATGAAGTCGGCTAAACGGTCTCACCCAGTTGCATGCTATGCCAAAGAATGATTATGTGTGAAATGCAGCAGTCTGGGAAGGGCTACAAAGCTATTTTAAAGGTTCTGGGACTCCGAAGAACCACAGTGATATAAACAAATCTCTAAATGGATAAAATGTTGTACCACAATTGGCTGACCGACCCAAATTCCTCTAAAAGCATATCAACATGTAAAAAATGGGCCAAGGATAACATCCAAGGAACTGCAGGAATCTTTTACATCAACAGAGGTCAGTGTTCACAACTCCACTATCACAAACACATTCCAGTAATGGCATCCCATGGAAGAGTAACACAGCAAAGACCACTGGTAATCCAGAAGAACAAGTCAAGTCAAGCCAACTTTATTGGTATAGCACTTTTCACTGTACACATTTTTTTCAAAGCAGCTTTACAGAAAATCTAAATGTTAATGTTTAGAATATCTTAAAGGGGGTCATATGATGCGATTTAAATTTTTCCTTTCTCTTTGGAGTGTTACAAGCTCTTGGTGCATAAAGAAGATCTGTAAATTTGCAAAGACTAAAGTCTCAAATCCAAAGAGATATTCTTTCTAAAAGTTAAGAGTCAGCCACGCCTACCATAAACGGCTCGTTCTAACACGCCCCCACATGTCTACGTCACTATGTGGGAAGATTTGCATAACGCCGCCCAAATGTTCACACAAAGAAAGAAGGCGTAACTTTTATTCTTGCTGTAGTATTGTTGCTGCCGCCATGTCGTGAAGACGCTGTGTTTAGTTGTGAAAGCGAAACTACTTTGTAGTACTCTTCCAAAAGAGGATGATATCCGCTTCGTCATGCCTAGAGCTGGTCGCTGAGGAAATACATCAACTTTGCGCTGTGGATCTCCTTCGTTGAATCCGCCGGCCGCGCCGTTCTCAAGCTCACCGGCCTCCTCTCACTCTAGCCCTCCGGCCTCTGCTCACTGTAGGCCGCAGTGTGTGACGCTGTGTTTCGTTGTGAAAGCGAAACTACTTTGTTTAGTCTTCCAAAAGAGGGCACGACTGGAAATCAGTGGTTAAGTTGTATTTACAACACTGTTCCAGAACAGTTCAACCCAAATATTCAGATGTGTACAGCACATTTTGTGGAGGACTGTTTCCTGATTCTGGGAGAGTAGACTACAATGCCGGCTGTTCTGACTCACAGACTGTACGTACGTTTTTTATATTTAAAGAATTTGCCACTGACGATTCAAACGCGAGTTTTGAGCAGTGTAGAGTAGCACTTGTTGTTTGTCATTTCTCCGATCACAAATGCAGACATGGTTTTATGTTTACGCGATGCAACGCGTAAAAAGACAGTATAAGTCATTATAATCATGAATGGCTCGTTTATAATGGGTTTCCATGTTTTTGAATCATCACTCCGGCTGGACAGGGCATCACAGTATGGTAAGGGACATAACATTTCCGTCACACGCTTGAGGTATTCGGCCAATCACAACGCACTGGATAGCTGGCCAATCACAGCACACCTCGCTTTTCAGACCGATGAGCTTTGTAAAAAATCTACGCGTTTCAGAAAGGTAGGGCATAGAGGAGAAACAATAATGTACAGTATGTGGAAAATAATGTGTTTTTTTAACCTTAAACCGCATAAACGCATTTCATTACACCAAATACACAAAATAATGTTCTTTTTAGCAGCATCATATGACCCCTTTAACAAATTCATGCCATATTAAGGCTTATCTAAATTTGGCCAAAACATGGCCAAAGTTTTGATGATCCTCAAAACTTTTGAGGGAATGTTCTTTTTGTCAAAAGTGGAACTGACACTAAATTGTGTCTATGGCCTGATATGCTGGGATAGACTCTAGCATCCCTGTGAACAAGTTGATTGAATGGATTGATGAATTCTGCTTTCTACCAGAAAATACTGAAGGAGAATGTCACCACTCTGTGACGTGCAAGTGATTTATGTAGTAATGATACCATGCATATGAGTAAATGCATTACACCCCTGAATATCTAGTCAGAATCCTGACTTGAACCTGATTGAGATGCTTTTGCGGGACTTTATACTGTCCAGTTCATGCTAGAAAAGCTCCAATCGGACTGAATTAAAGCAGTTCTGCAAAGAAGAGTGGGCAAAAATGCCCCTTCAGCAATCTGAAAGACTGTCCTCTTAACCCAAGCATTTGGTTGCAATTTTTGCTGCTAAAGTTGGCTTGACCAGTTATTAAGTTAATGGGGCAGATTATTATTATTATTTTTCATATGGATGTATTGTAGGAATTGTTTACTCAGGATGCCTTGGTTTGAATATCTGATATATGTTTTTACATGAAAATACAAGAAGTCACAAATAAATGTTCATAGCTCTGTATCTAAAGACTTTGTGCTCACATACTTGTCTAGCTTATGTTGGGCCAGAAATCTGCATGTCCTCAAATTATGAGGATTTGGACAAGTTCTACAGTGTGACACAGATTTATGTTCTCGAGATTATTGCTGAGACTGGATAAGGAGGCTTACAGCAACCATTCTCCAGTGGATTTGTGCAATTTTTCCTAGTACTGCAAATTGTGAAAACCACCAAAATGTGAAAGAAACCACAAATTTAACAAAACAGAAAAAAAGGAGTCTAAAACGAGACCTATTTATTCAGTAATGGGATTATTTAAAATATATTACAGCTTTTATAGGTATATAAAACAACATTCATCATCTGTACTTCTATTACTCTCAACATTTCAACTATTTACAAAACAACTTCCTGTACAAAACGAACAGAACTCATACAAAAATACATTTATATTTGAGCAAAATGCATATTGCAGATAGTGTACAATACAAATGTTTGTTCAATACAGAAAACATGCACTGCTAATACAAACTCGGCTGGAGTGATGTGGAAATGTCCCGATGCATTCAGCTGAAACCTAATCCAAAGTAACGTATAGCTGTTTGTGTGTCATGAAGTGTGGCTCTGCTGCAGATGAGCAGCCCTGTTTCTGACTGACTGAGGCTGGGAAACACTCGAGCGTCCTCAACCGTTTAGACTGTACTCCTGTTTGTAGCAGCATGGCCGGCACACTGCATTAACCAATCCGCTGACGAGCTGCAGGAAACAGAGGAGGAACTCCAGGGTGCTGAGACCCAACAGGATGGACAGCAGCGTCACATTCCACTCAACAATGTGTGCCGGCTGAATGCAGAAAGACCATTTCTCTCGAGCAAACAGATACCTGAACAAACGGAGGAAAAGAGTTCAAGATGTTTTTCTTATGAAGTCACCATCAAAGCATTTTCAAAAGAAAAAAAAAAAAGATCTCATACCTTCCACCATCATTCTCAAAAGGATACCTCCATCCCATCTGAGTGAAGCAATACGGCCCCTTAAAGAGCGCCACAGCAGAGATCAGGAAGCAGTATGCAGAGCCGGCTAATCCCAGCAGAGCCGCGAACACCGAACCACACATCTACACACACACAACGTCAAACTGATGAGTCTGGCTGATCTGTTCAACATGTCTCCCTTCCCAACACTCACCGCACAGCTGTCTGTTCCGCAGGAATCCGCACACTTCCCCATTCCCAGAAACACGCAGGCCGGTATCAGCATCTGAATGTGGACAAGGAGTTTTTAGTACAGTAAAACCGTCTAAATGAGTAATCACACCCCATTATGGCATTTTAGTCCTGACATAAACGGAATATTCAACAAGAAAAAATCTAGAATGGAATGATAGAATTAATTGTGAGAAGTCTGGAGATGTCAGCAACAAAGAAATACTGGTGGACCAGCATTGCATTTTGATGAAAAAAGTACGAAGATATCATCAACAACATATAGTAACAAATTAGATATCTGAAGATTTTGACCCAGTACTCGCACTTTCGATTAATTCATTACAATTTACACAAGTTTTTTTATCGCTAACTATGAGAGTAAGCACTTTGGTATTCTTGTTTCCTCAGTTGTATGTTTTGAGGAATAAGGTCTCTTCATCCATTTATTTTAGCGTTAGCTTTTCATTTGAGTTGTTCATTGTCTCCACACTTTGACCAGCAGCCAAGAAACACCCCAGAAGTTTACTTTGTAACTCTCATTCCAAACCAGTCTTATGAGAACTGTATGAGTTACCAATTTAATTGAATAAATTCACACTTGTAAAAAAAAAAATTAATTAAGGAAAACGACCAGGACCGCATTTAGACCCACCCTAAATTTAACCCTACAGAAGGCAAGGGTAGATCGTACGAACAGTTATCAAAGAGATCGTATGAATTCACCACCAGTTCTCTAAACTGTAAAATACTTTCAAATAGTTTTTGAGAGTGTTGATCATTTCACACTCACAACAGCACAGATAAGCTTTTTTGTACTGACCAATACACAACCAAGAATCTTGGACACTTTCACTTCCCATTGACTTTTGTTTTTATATTAAGCTTATTATGTTTTCTACACCTTAGAGTTCTTACACATACTTTTGCATCAAGTTAGTGATTTTTCATTAGACTAATCCTGATTTTAACCATTTAACCTAACCCTAGCTCTTAAAATATTTAGCGTTTTTACAGTTGTGTTTATTCCGTTTTTTCCTCATGGGGATGTTAGGGACGTCCACAGTGCAGAGATGGTTTGTCCAGCAACCTCAGTCCACCAACACTATTCCACACGTTTGCACACAACCAGGACACAAGACAGTTACAGCAACACAAATCTGATACTCACCACCAAACCACCTCCTCCGATTCCCATAAAGTACCAGACATATGTGGTCACATGTTCATCCTTTACGAAGTTCATCTTTCCGTCAGGAAAGAAGAGCAGGATGTTTGCCACGATGCAGCAGGTGGCGAGAGGGATGAGGGCAAAACCCAGAGACCTGGCGAAGCCCAGAGAACACATCTTCACGTGGAGCAGAGGGAGCGAGCACAGGCGGCAGTAATCCGGGACAGGAAAGTAGGGTGGTGGACGGTGGAAGGGTTTTAAGAGACTTCCCCCCTCCTTGGCCCCCCCATGAGCCGCTGCTGCACTGAGGAGGAGGAGACAGGAAACGGGCTGACATTATACATTATGACTGGAAACTCTCTGACAGACGATATGACCGGGACATTGTGGGCGGTTTGAAGAGAGTTACAAGATGTTTTCCTACCAAATCTTTCTTGTCATTTCGTTGACAATCAGACAAAGATGCATCTCAACATAAAGGTGGACAGTTTTACAGTTTAAAATGACAAGCCTTGTTTTCAAAGTCATGAAAATATAAGGTGCTTATTAGAAAGAGAATCTAATGCTGATATTCTTATAAATATCTATGAATATCTTTTCCATTTTCATTTGGTTCACAACAAGGTTGACACTGTAACACTTTTTACGAGCTTTTCAATGATGACATACAATAAAGTAATTAGTAAGTTTTTTCTTAGTAAACTATTTATTTATTTTTCTTTTAACACAGTAAAAGTTGCTATCAGCTATTCATTATCATTTTAAACGTATACACTACACTTTTAAAGGTTCCAAGGTTCCAAAAGGGCGTTTTGCAGTGATGCTATAGAAGAACCATTTTGGAGCCAGTTGACTGTTCTTAAAAGAACCATTTTTTATGGCATGAAGAACATTTTTATAAGTTAACAAACCCTTTTCCACTATAAAGAAACTTTTTGGAACGGGTCCACTGATAGTAAAGCTTCCTCACGGAATCATCAAAGCCAATAAAGAACATTTATTTTTAAGAGTGTGCCGTTCAAAAGTTCAAATGTTTTTGAAAGAAGTCTCTTATGCTCAGAAAGGCTACAGTTATTTGACCAAAATACAGAAAAAAACAATTCTATTTTCAAAATATTATTGCAATTTAAAATAACGATTTTTTTTTAAATATATTTTTAAAAAATGCAAAGCTATATTTTCAGCATCATTACTCCAGTCTTCAGTGTCACATGGTCTTCAGAAATCATTCTAATATACTGATTTGCTGCTCAAGAAACTTTTATTATTATTATTAGCAATGCTGAAAATAGTTGTGCTGCCCAATATTTTTGTGGAAATCGTGATTTTTTCAGGATTTGATGAATATAAAGTTTAAAAGAACAGCCTTTAGAAAAGAGAAATCTTTTGTAACATTATATATGTTTTCAATGTCACATTAAATCAATTTAATGCATCCTTGATGAATAAACATATTTATTTATTTAGAAAAAGAAGAAGAAAAATCCTACCAACCCCAAACCTTTAAATGGCAGTGTAGATAACGTGCATAAGGAACACAAATGGCATCCATTTTTGTGAAATTAGGCCTTTGTCTTGAAAGGGGCGTGTGGTTTAGATGATGTGCAGATAGGTTGTGTTTCAGCCGTCAGCACTTCTGATTAGACTCTGTAGATGGCATCACTTACTCTACGCTGTAAAATCCATAGTGTTAAATTAATGCTGCTCAGAGCATATATGGTCCCACTCTACAAGAGTGTTAAAGTAACACTGAAGCAGTGTTAAAGTTAATGAGATAATTCTGTGATTAATTAAGTGCTGATTGAGCATTAGTGATGAACACCTGCTGTTAACAAGCAGAATCACTGAAGAAAAGAGAAACACAAGAACTACAACTGACTTCAGCCACAGCCTGAGATAAAATCAACTGAAATAAAAGACATTAAATCTCCCAAGATCTCAGGAGAAGATGATTAATCATCTCCACAAACAACATCACCAACTTCACACATTACTAACCAGTTAGACTTTTTTTGTAATGCGTCTAAGAATTTCTTATTAAGAATTAACAGAGGTTTAGATGTTATTGTTTATTGAAAATAATACAAGTCACCAGTCACCATTTTGGAGATAAGTGTTTGTTTTAGTTGGGCTCTTGACCCTTGACTTTTTAACATTATTTTTTCTCTGGTTGCTGTAACTGTGTTTATGAAACACATTTGTTATAGCAAGAAAAACCAAGCGCAAATGTGATCATGTAATATTAGCCATTTTTTGATACTGATGTAGTTGTCATGCATGGCCTGATTCACTGATGTCATCAGTAGTGATGCGTAATTTAGTTAATATTATTGATCACAACTGCATTTTAAAGCAACATTATGAAGAGCTTGAAAAACACTTGCACACCAGTTTAGAACATCTGTACTGTTTAGACACACAGACATCAAGAATCAGTATATGAATCTCAACAATGGTGACGATCATCAGACAGAGTCATGCTGCAGTGCATTCTGGGTGCACCAATCATAACTCATCCATGGCTCCCAGCATGCATTGCGACATTAATAAATTATGCAGCTGCATTGTTTTAGGATTTTCTTTTATTCTTACTATTTGCTTAGATTTTTGTTGTGATTTTTTACTGCCTTGTTTTGTGACGTTCAAAAATCATATAAAAATTATCAGAATATTTTATCACCATTGCTGAGATTCACATGCTGATTCTTTATGTCTACGAGTGCCAGAATTGAAACCTCTTTAACTATATTTATAAAAGTGGTTTATAAAGTTCTCTCACATTGTCATCTCCCATTATAGAACTGCAATAATATAGCAGTTATAAAAGCACTACAGATTTAGATCAAATGCAATCACAGACTCAGACGCATGAAATGATTTTATCACAAGTTCCTTGCTATCACATATGTGCTTTATAAACACAATTGTAACAGCCAAAAACAAACTTAAATTTAAAAGGTCAAGAGGCAACTAAAGCAACCACTATTCACCAAAACGGTAAGTTGAAAAGAAAAGAAAACATCTAAACCTTAATTCTCAATAAAGAACTTCTGTTTTAGATACTCCAGAAAAAAAGTCAAACTGGTTAGTAATGTGTGAAGTTGGTGATGTTGTTTGTGGAGTTGTTTAATTATCTTCTCCTGAGATCTTGAGATATTTAATGTCTTTTATTTCAGTTGATTTTATCTCAGGCTGTAGCTGAAGTCAGTTGTAGTTCTTGTGTAATAATAAACATAATTATCTCATTAACTTTAACACTGCTTCAGTGTTCATTTAACTCAGGATTTTACTGTGTAAGATAGATCACACACATGATATCACTTTAATATAAAACCTGTCTTTCTCCCAGACAGCAATGAGATGAAATGGAGAGGAAAAACTGAGCAGTTCTGCTGAAGTTTCCTTAGTTTCCCCCAAAGAAAACAGACATGTTCTCCTTTGGGGTTTCAGAAGTGATTTCATTGACATTGAGGGGGAAATCAGGAAAAACACCTGAGACAACACTGATACTTGGATGGAAATCAATGGAAACAACTAATAAACGCTACTGTTCACTTGCACACTTTTTGTTTATGATGTAAAAATCTCTATTAAGCCAGATAAATCTGTAACAGGATGAAATGTCTGCAGTGTTTGTGTGATCCAGGATTAGCCGTTGGTGTAATCAGGCTTTATGAATAAAACGGCCTGTTATAAGGAAGTATGCCACTATATTATGTAACTAAATGGTATTCCACAGGATACAGACGCCCACTGTTGTGTTTGCTGTGCTGTGTGCTGAGGGGATCCGAGAACAAAACATATGCTTGTGCCTTGGGAAGCATCTGTAATATGACAAAAATGAATGCCTTCATGAACTTCATGTTCATCTGGTAGAAGTTGAATATCAATAAATGTATTTAATAATTCAGAATTTAATATGCAATTTATGTAATTGTGTTTTATTACAACTTTATTAAACGTTACTAAAACTTTTTGATTTCTGTACTTAATATGTGTTAATAAGAGTTCAATAACTTCACTTGTAAAAAAGAAGTACACTTACTTATTCTCTGGGGCGTTTTTGGTATTTTCGCCTAAATTTTTCATACTCAAATTCAAATGTTTGCCCTACACACATACAATGGAGGAAATGAAAAAAAAATGGTTTCATTGTAAATAAAACCCTTTGAACTACAAAATATGAGTGGAATTCTTTATAAATAACCTTATATATTTTTCAAATATTACAATAAACACAAAAAAAACATAGGCGATTTTGGAGTTTTAAATCAATGTATTTTTTTGAAATTCTGTAATTCAGGTTCTGTTAGGCTCAACTCTCTGGAATTTACTTTGTTTGATGCCACTATATGCCAAAAAGTACCAGAAAAAAGAATCTTTCAAATAACAGCTTCTAAACAGGAGTTAGAACATTATTTGTGAAGCGATTGAAAATGTCCAATTCTGCATCGAAATGTGTCATGGTGAGTTTCCCTTGCAAAAACAGGCTTTATAAAACACATTAACCCCACAATCCTATTGTGCCATAAGCACTTTAATTGATTATTTATTGAATTACGTTAATTTTTGTTTTTCTAAGTAGTAATATACAAAATGGCACAAGCGAATTGGACCAAAC